TAGCCAGGCAACAAAGACACAGTCTGCCCGGTCCTGCATCACAGTGGAATGACTCATTAAATGGGGATCATTGCGATTCTTTTTGTACGTGACGTCTTCCAAAATGAGCCGTGAATGATGACATCCCCCCTTTTTTTCCTTCTCTCAGACTTTTTTCAGAAAAATGCTAATAAACAAAGACGTATTGCTTCCTATCCTCTGCTGTGGGACAATTAGGACTCATTGCTGATAAATGATAATGTTAATCTCTTTTTCTCTCTTTCTTTCCAACCTCTGCTGTGTCTTGTCTCTCATTCACATATAAGGGATGTGGCTGTGTGGAAACTGTGATCAACCTGTTTCCAATAGCGTTACCCCGATGACCCTTTTCTCCGCTGTAAGGTCAGGGAAACATTGAATGCTTGGCTGTGATGAATCTGAGGACATTCCAAACCCCCCCGAGCTATTTGCACTAATGCCTGTCGGTTTGATAGAGAAGTGTCTTGTGGGATATGTGGTTTCTGTGACAGCTGGAATTGTGAACTCTATCATCCCTATTTTTCTCCCTATAATGCCTTTGTCTCTGGCCTCTTTCATATGAAAAGAGTGATCACTGTGCAGCTCAAACCCTTTCTGTCTTTTTGAGACTGTTTTTGTTGTTGGCGATTGTTGATAGTCTGTGTGTTTAGGCTTGGAGTTGAATGTTTGTGGGGGGTAACTAGGGCTTGCATGTATGTGGAGGGGTCGCCACAGAGTCAGAGAGAGGAGGGACTCCAGGACATGTTGCTGAAGAGATCACAGAGTGGTCATCTTCTCGTCAGATATGCAGTCTTTTGCAGCTTCAGGGGGGGAGTTGTGTGCAGAATCTACAGGTGTATACAGCTGTATCACCAAGTACTCAGGTCTTTGTGTGTTGTGTGTGTGTGTGTGTGTGTGTGTGTGTGTGTGTGTGTGTGTGTGTGTGTGTGTGTTCACATTTCAGCACAGAGCCATGTTCACATATCCTGAGCAGGAAACATCATGTTAGTGTCTCCTTTTCCTCAATTTCTTTTCATACAGCGACTTTCTTCAGGAAACCGAAGAAATTACACTCAGATTGTGAGCCCGTCCCACTGACATCCTGCGCTGTCACTACCCCATCCACACACACACACACACACACACACACACACACACATTGCCCTGTGTGGTTTTGCAGCAACGTGTTTCCTATTAACTTCCATTCAGCCGGCTGGGTATTAAGTTGTTCAAAGATATACAGTTGAGAGCCTCAAATCACGCCGGATTACCCACAACCTCCAAGACCAAATCAGCCGGGCAATTTGTTGTCCAACCTGGTTATGTTCTCTGTCTCAGCTGATTTGAGTTGAAGGTTGCTGTGTGCTGAGTGAAGCACTGAGTTTTAATGTGGTTACTACTTGATTCAGTATGACAGATTCACAGAAAACATCTCTTCATGTTTGAGGTGTTTAGTTGACCGTTTAAAGTTTTTTATTCCTTGAATGTGGAGCCCTAATACAAGATAAATAAGTAAAAGGCCAAAAAGGTGAATTACTGTTTTGTACTGAATTTGTTTTTCTAGTTTCTTTGCAATTTTCCTTTATGTGACAAAAACCTGGAGAAATTAAGCATTTTCACACTTAACCACCACTTTGGTCCAGACTACAATATCTCAACACCTGTTGGATGAAAAGCAAGCAGACATTTCGTTTTGTTCATGACAAAATTAATGACATTCTCTTCATCCTCAGTTGTTCTTTGTGTTTGGAGCTAATTAGCAAATGTTAGCAGACTTAAACGCTAAACCAGGGGTCTCTCGAGGGCACCGGGCAGCCCACTAGTAGCCTATGAGGTACCCATAGAGGATGTTCTTGTAATCTCACTCTCAAATAGTTTTGGTACAAATAGGTCCCATTGTGTAAAACATTTAAATACGTTACTGATGACATATATTGAACTAGCCTTAACTATGGATGCTTTCCTGTCTTTTCTTTCTGCAGTTGGCTTTAGGTGGTCCTCACTCTGAAAAAGGTTTTGAACTAAACTAAGATGGTGGTTAACATGGTAAACATTACCTGCTAAACATCAGCATGCCAGCATTAGCATTTAGCTCCAAGCACCACTGTGGCTAAGCCTCAGCCTCACAGTACATCTAGCATGACTGTAGACACTTAGTCTTGGCAACTCAAACTGTAGTTTTTGTTATTTCCATGTTGGCTTCATTTGCCAGACATGTAGGTTGCCTTTTGGTTATAACACACTCAACCATATGAATACTCTTTATTCATTGGATTCACAAACTCTCAGTTTTTGAGAGTTTAAGTTTAAGATTTATAAGATTGAAATTAGATTTTTAATGAAAGATGAATCAATGACACATCATGTGACTGATCAGCCAAAGAGTTCCCGCAAGTTGGATGGTGAACTTTATACAGTTTGCATGTTGGCATAATGTTAGGCTGACTAAGACACACACAGTATGGTCTATTGTACTGTGTAGTATAATAAGTGTGTAGAATGCAGTGCGCGCCATCAAATATCATTCACTGTCTCCTTGAACTGTGTGTGAGGTCCAGTTTTCCCTGCACCATTTGTGTCAACATTTACTCTGCTGCTTCATCTGTTGATACGTCTCTTCATCAGTCTGTGCTTTTATTGTTCTCGGTTGGACAGTGTACATCTGATTCAGACTCTAATTTGCCCACTGGAGTTATTTTATTAGTCACAAATGGCTTGTAATGTTTTATCTAGTTTTATTACAAATATTTCACACACTGACCTGAAGCCTCTTTCTTACTGTAAAAACCTCTAAATTGCTCTGTTGAACTTGATCAGAGCAATGTGTCAGTAAAAATACAGATTAATAAACATTCTGTACATATGTCAGCCACCTCCATCATGGCCGGGTCTCAGCTGAGTAAGCACAGTATAGAAATCCCATAATAATTTCTGCATGTGCCCAAAAGGCCCAAACATGCAACTCTCACCCTACAAACCACTTGGTCTGCGTCCAAACCATGTCTCATGTTCCTCGTATATATCTACACACAGGGTCAGAGGTAAGAGCTGTACCATGAAATTAATCCGCTCTACATGGTTCCACTTTATTAGAGCTGACAGCTATATAAAACTACACAGACTCCCTGGTGCTGAGGACGAGTAATGAACCAGCACAAACGAATACTTTTTAAAAACCCCAGGTGTTAAAATATCAGACAGGGATGTTAATGGGCATTACATGTGCGTTTCCTCTTTACCCCTTTTACTGGAAGGAGATTTGCTGAATAGGTTTCAGTTCTAAGGTGGAAAATGTCAAGCGATAGTCCTGTTGAATTATTCATCTAGCCTAGGAATGGTTGTTCCTATGCAATGCAAGATTGTTTGCATGAGGTTTTGGCCTTGTGATGCTTTTCTGTTTGAACCGGTTTATTTTGGAGAACCTGCAGCAGGAAGTCTGGTCTTCTGTAATTCATTTCTCTCTGTGGAAAGAGAGGTTGCATGGTCTGTAGGACAACTTATTCCACCTGTCTGAGGTGTGGTGCAGTCACTTTTTATTACTATCAAAGATAGTAAGTAACTCCTCATGACAGTTCTTTAAAGAGAGACATTTCTCAGCACTTCTGCTAGAAATTTTTAAGGTATTGCTCTTCAACCAAATGACTCCCTGTAATGTAAAATAGATCGCTCATACTGCTGAACCCACTAAGAATCAACACTTGACTCTACAGATATGTGTCTTTTACAAGTTCTTAGCTCAGTTTTTCAAGCCTCCATATAGCAACCCTGTTTCCTAGACGTTACATATACTATTAATTTGTTACCAGGATTATCTCAGTGCCAATGTTTTTTTTCTAATTAAGTAAATACTACATTTTTGTAATGCCTGGAAATCAGGGAGACAGTCATGGTGGATGGTAGAAAACACATGAGTTTGACCCAAGAAACTGGGATTTGCATAGGACCAAAAACACACTGGTTAAGATTAGGGAAAGATTGTGGTCATGGTTACATATTAATAAGCTAAATATGCCCTATCTCATGATTAAAGTCACTTACAGAGTACAGAGTTTTTCTGTATTTGACTAAGACCACAATCTTCCCTGAATGTAACCAAGTGCTTTGAGTGCCTAAAACAACCAAACAGTAATCATGCTGTATCTGTACAAGCAGATATGGTTTTTGTCTGGAAAACAAATGAAATATGTTGTCACTGACCATTTTACAGGAATGATCAGTATGAAGAAAAAATCTTCTAAATTAAAAGACAAAAGACGTTGTTTGTCCACACTCTCTAGAAGGATGCATAGATGCACAAGTTTTCTGACCTAATGCCCTATTGGCAGGACGACATCCTTTGACTGTCTGCCTTCCACTGTTGAAATAATAATTTGTTTTATGATGTGGCTTTATGATATTTTGAGACTAAGGTTAAGGTCTGATTAGGTTGAGACACAAAAATGACTTTTACAGAAACATTGTGGTTTGGGTTGAAATTACATCTTTGTTAAGTTTTTGGGACCTTCATCGTCATGGTTACAATAATACGTAAAGTGATTTTGTTTTGTTGACCCATCCATCTACCTTAAACAGACTATGACCACTAGAATATGAACTTAAACCTCAACATTTTGTGACTCAAGTCATTTAAAATGTTTCCTCATTATTTTGATAATTACGTTTCTCCCAACATGTATTTGCTGTCGCAAATTTATTGCATATACATGTAAGTTATAGCAGACAGGGTTGACTCGTATAAGGAGTTGGAGGAACAAGTTAAAGCTAAAGGAAAAGTGAATGCTGGCCAGAAACTCAACTCTAATGGGATGCTCATGTTGCTCCATGCCTGCTGGATGTGTTAGGCATTTGTTTGCCAACAGGCCATCCGTAACAACTGGGTAAGCCGATAGTCTATCCAGGATGTTTTTCTGTACTTTTAGTTTGAAACCTCTCTGCCCCCCCTTACAGTCAGATATCACTTGATGTAGCTTTACATAAATTAAAAGGTCAAATACAGACATGTATAACTGATTTTGTCTCATATGACTTTATTGAAGAAGGGTTTGAGTATCATAGCTAAAATACTGCCTCTTGGTTTACAAACAGTGACAATACAGAGAGCAATACTCTAATACATCTCATGTATATGAAGTGTATGTGTCCAAAGCTGCCTCAAAAGAAGTTATTTCACATTGTCTGGGGGTCCAAAGTAGAACACATGCACTTGTATTCATTTGTTAACACAGTAATGGTAATGAATGTGAACCTGAATGTGTGCCTGGTCCAAGAATACACACAAACCTTCTGTAAAAGCTCTATTTGCACGATGATAAAGGAGTCTATGTATTTGTCTAGATTGTTTCCACAGGGGGCACAGTACTAAACAAAAAAGCAAGTCTGATTAATATAACAAATTAATTATCATAAGACAGTAATGAAACAAATGCTGCTGAGAGATTGTTTAATAAAATTTTACCACAGGTAATGCAGTATATTTTCCCTGTTAGTGAGATAATTATCACATTATACATTAGAAAGTTTACTGAAGTATCAAGATGTAGCTCTCTCTCTCTCTCTCTCTCTCTCTCTCTCTCTCTCTCTCTCTCTGTACAGATATATATATATATATATAAGCTAATTTGGGAATGGATGGCGGTTTCAGTTCATTTGGAAATTGGAATGTTTTAGGTTGTTTAGCAATGTTTTTAAACAAATTAGTATAATAATATAAAATTAATGTCTATTAACTTCTATTACATTAATGGGAAATGGATTACACTTACAGGATTATTGCAACATTAGCTGCAAATTGATATGATTATCACCTGTAATCAGGCACTCAGCAAATAGACCATGTAAAACCCAACAAAGACCATAACAATGACCACAAGCACCAGACTTCTATTACAGTTTAGGGAAGAAAAAAACAGCCTCTAATTTTTCGGCATGGCAGCAGTCGAGCGAAATTGAAAAGAAAGCCCGTGGGGTGCTGGGAGTGTCCAGATTGAAAGCACATGTTGGTCGCTTGGATCTGAACTCAAAGGTTTTGTTCTGGCTCAGTGGCTCTATTGACACATCATACATCAATCTCAGTAAAACTCTATAAAAACTGTGTTCGACGGGGACAACTAGTTGGCTGAGCTGAATAGTTTCCTGACTCATGTAACACAATGACAGCAGCTTTTGTTTTCAATCACTATGTGTTGGACAGGTTTTTATTCAGTTCATCTTTGTTACATCTCAGATTGGTTGATAAGGAAACAGAATGGACCGAACACCAAACCAGAAAGACGATATTTGATTTGTTTGGCTGATTTTCCACATTGCAAAAAAAAAAAAAAAAATAGTGTTTTAATCCTTTGGTAAAGGAATGAGTTGCATATTGTGTCTAACATATTTGCAAACAAACCATTACATATATGTGAAATATTGCATGAAACCTTAAAAATGAAGTTTAATACTGTTTCTCGCATTTTCGACTAGTCTTCATTTAGTAGCTACTGCCTACTGTACATTGCATTAAAAAAAAATTTAGTAAGATTATACACAATATAAAAATAAAACAATTACATTTAAAAAAAAAAACACATCTGATAATAAAGTGGCTCAAATATTTATAAAAAAGGATAATCAAAACTATATATTTTTTTGCCACCATGAACAATCCCTTTGTGACATTTATCATTCAGCTGTTTTATGAGACAATTTATTAGCTTTTTATTCCTACCAAGGACAGGTGTTGGTATGGAAATACTGCAGTTGATTGCTTTATTGATATGCATGAGATATATATATATTACCTAGTCCCTTTGAAATTAATAATTATGATGATTCTCTTCTACCTTTTTCTAACAATATATGAAAGAGGGAATCATGCTTGTTCACAGGTTTCTTCATGTTTTACTGTATAAATATTTGGTCTCTATTTACTGATCAATCAGTAAGAAAGCTGCATTGATCAATGTTTGAATCCACTTCTTTATGGTCGTTATCAGTACAGTATGGCCTAAGCACAACATCAGCTTTCCATTTAATATTTTATATCAGCGCTTTAAATATTGTGTGACAAGTAAAAACATAACTGTGTTTCATTTAAGATATAAAGGTCACACCCCATCTTAAATCTTGCATATAATAAACAGTGAAGTATAATTATGTCCATGGCTCTGACCCCTTATACTGAATATATAGCACCATAAGATCAGTGCTTGACTCTTAGCAGTGTGTGTGAGCTTCCATCTGTTTTGTTCCTGATGGTGCAGGAAGCTTGAATACATTTCAAGATACTGTTGTAGCATGGCCTGCCCTGATTGGTCAGTGCTTGTGACCCCATTGGCCAGCCTCTCTGTGTCTGGCCCATGAGCCCTCCTGGAGTAATGCCAAATTCACCTCACATGAGAAAAAGTTTTCACATTTAAAGTTTGTAACACCACCATCCCAAATACTAGTTCTGAATGAATGTAAGAGTTTTCTCTTTTCAAAGACCGTTAAAAAGGAAGTAAGTGTGCTGCTATAAATATAACTGATCATTTTCACTTTTCCATTTCTTCTGTTTGACAAACCCCATTTGGGCTATTTAGACAGAACCTGCCAACAAATTCCTCCAAGGAGGCTTGTGGGAGTGTTTCAGCAGCTCAAATTTAGAGTTAATTTGACAGAAAGTGAATGTAGCATTACCCACAAAGCCTTGTGTGTGAGACAGGAAGCCCAAATTGTTCGTTTATAGCGATGTGATATCAGAAAATACTGTATACAGACACACAGTCAGAGTTAGTTCATGTGAAGCACATTCAAATGCACACACACACACACACACACACACGTATATCTGACATCAGCATGCGTTGCATCAATCCAGTGGTATAATTGCACTTGGTGCGAACAGGGAGAGTTGGGGGTGACTGCGTGGGTGTCCAGGGGGATTGGTGGCGGTGCTGGGGACTGCATGGTTTGGCGGTGAAGTGCTGGTTCTGCAAGCGGTCCAGAGAGGTGGACAGGTACATACAGCGTGTTTACATACATCCATAGCAGTGATAGGGAGGTATACAGGTTCAACTCGGGGATGCCAGGTCTGGCGACATACAAGTCTTCCCTTGTTTTTAGTTTTTCTTGTTATTGCGTCTTCTGTTTTTCTTCACCCTGGAGAGAGATTCAGAGGGATTTGTTAGCCATTGTCTTTATATCTCTATATGTTTTTATAAAAAATCAAGTTTGATGATCAATGATATATAAACATGGATGTCCTGCAGTTTAAAGAGCAAATGTATATTAAGAGCACACAAATGTCATCTGATACTGGTTAGTCTGGCCAACTAGTAACTTTAATTTAATTATGGTCCTAATATTTCCACTTTTACTCCCCAACATCCTCCCGACAACTCGTGTGAAGGACATTCCTGGGTACATAATCCAGACCGCAAAAACTCTTTAAAAAAGATAATTGGAAAAAAATGGTAGCATATAAATTAAATTTCTAGGACACAGCATTGGTACTGTAAGTTATTTCTAACAGAAGATATGAATGTGTTGCTGGGCACAGTTGAAAACTGCTGTTTTTGAACATGTTAGGGGCCTCAGGTGTTGGCAAACAGCTCTGATAGGAACATCATAACATATAAATGTGATTTATGTTTAACTGTAACTGAACATCGAAAATGGTGATTCTGACAAAAAGCAGTCACGCTATAAGAAACGCCACACACACACACACACACACACACACACACACACACACACACACACACACACACACACACACACACACACGTAAGTGTATTAACAGTATGCATTCTTGGCTATTTCTCTTATATCTAACGGCACTGTAACACAGGATTTTGGTGTGAACAGGAGTTTTTATACATTCTCCATTAATTCATGACTCCTATAATGACCACTTAAACTGTGCAAACACACTTAAAACACTGAACTATCTTCCCACGCTGAACTCTATAAGTGCAGTTGTGGTAATTTGTCTGTACATAAACCTTACTGAATAAGCTCAAAATACCTGCTGGAAGGGCTTAAAACAAGGCTGCTTCTCATTGGACACAATGGACATTTTTCTTTATACGATGTGATATTCTCTTCTTTACAGTACATGCTGTAGTGCTGAGAAACACAGTAGACAGAATATGAAAAGTCATTGTTTAACAGTCTGATGGACTATTTACTGCTGTGCCACATGCCAGCCTCAATGAACTGTGATACCTCTAAGAATAAGACCACATTTTAAATTAAAAAAAAAAAACTGTATTAATGCTAACACAGTGAAAAATGTATCGTAAATCTTCAGAAATTACTCTAGTTGTTTGTTTTCACATTGTGCTTAGAGTGTTTATGGTATTTTAAGAAGCATGCAGCCTGGCGATAATCACTGCCAGACATGTTAGGAACAATTTTATGAGGAATGCACACATTTTAACTGCATAGCTCATTAAAAACTGAATGAGCTGCTGCACTTTTTACTATGAGTAGCTTTCACCCACAATGTTACTCCCCAACCGGTACAACTCTGTCACTGATGTGCAATTAGTGATGATAATTATGGAAAATGCTTCTTAGGAATAAAAAAAAAGTCGAGTGTATTAGCTATTGTGAGTGAGCTGAGGGGGTAAAAATGATGAACATTTGACTATGCTGCAGTCTTGTCTGAAGTCTCAGACACATACCTATGAGAAACAAGGAAGCAGACACAACAGTGGCAGATTTATCACTATTTTTACTGGATGCTAATTATTTCACAGATAATAACTCAGCTGCTTACATCAACCACATCAGTGATTTCAGAGATGAATTGTCAGCAGGAAACTGAGAAATGGTCTTTTGTAACGATGGTTAATTTCTTCTTTGTAAGATCTTAACTCAGTGCAGAAGAGAGATTTATTTCATTTCTGTCAGCGCTACTTGTGTCTGCACAAAGCGAGAGAGAGAAGACGTTTTTTTTCTTACTTGTTAATGGCATTCTTTAAGTACTGCTGCAGCCACTTGGTCTCTGGGTTGATGCAAACTTCCCTGTTGTTCTTCAGCTTGGCACTGTCGGAGAAAAAAAGCAGAATTTGAGGGATTAGACACCACGCTCTGAGTATTTCTGCTAAAATGTCTGAGTGGATGAGATTTGCCGACTTTTTGAGACTCACCAGATCATATTTGCTTTTATCATTTCTACAGAGATAGAGAGGATGCAATGTACTTTAGTCTAACCCAAACTCACATGTAATAAATCAGGTTCAAGGACGTGTACTGGAGAATATTTTCACCTCGGGTCTTTCTTTGTAGCCAAACATCCGGTGATGGTGTACAGTACAGAGATGGTATCTAGTTTATTAGCTGTGTGGTCAACCAAACTGCAGCAAGACCTTTCAGTAACCTCAAGGAAATGTGACTGACATTTTAATTAACTTAAACCTTAAAACCTTAAAGAAGCTCATTCAAGTTCCTTTGTTGGTTCTCTTGGTTTCCATTTTAGGCATTTTCTTCAGTGAGCTTAAGTTTTGCCCCTTGATAACTCCCCGTATTACAACAAAAAGAACTAAAACTACCAATCAAAGGTGCTTCTTTTTTATTTTAAAAGATTATAGACCCTACTCTCTCTAAAGATTATTGATAATACAACATGAAAAAAGGGACAATCATCTATTTAAGTTTTGGAACTGCAGGTCCCATAATGCTCTACAGGAAATATTATGTTGCAGTGCATGCAGTAAGTTAGCTGTTGCCTCAACTTGAACTCTGTTTATTTTTAGCCTACATTTATAATTGTATTCTAGCAATTTTGGCACCATTTAATGTTTGCTGATTTAGCTATGTGCAGTTCATGTTTACAATGTACTCATGGAGCTACAAATAACTGTCACTGTATTACTGTGTGATGATTTTCATGATGGACATAAAATATGACATCCTCAGAAAGTGTAAGTCTCACTGAATCTCAAAAGATTTGTGATCATATCTTTATGTTCAGATTTGACAGAGTTGTGACTCTGCGATGGACTGGTACCTTTCACCTCTCACCCTCACACCCTGTCTTTGCCTCACATGATGTCTCTCCCTCCTCACTTCAGCTCTCCCTCAGTTGCCTGGTGCCTCACAGTTTAAGGACTTCTGTTCCAAAGCATACTGTACAGTGATTTCCCAACACCCAGAAAGCCAGCAATTTCAATTCCTGTCAGTACCCTGTGAATCAACTTGTAGAAACATGGAACTTTCTTGATAGAAATAATCCATCAAACTATCACCTTAAAAACTTTAACTTAAAATAAAGGTGACAAATCTTTCTCTGTGGTGGATTACTTTTATCAAGCAAGTTTTAACTCTCTGCAAGTTGATGCATAAAATGCTGGAATTCATGGAAAAGAATGGTTTCTTGAAATGTAGGTAAATTAACTAAAAACCCTAGGTATCCTGTTATTTGGATAATGGTGGGCAGAAATGTACAACATAAGCAATTTGCAGTTATTAAACCTAAACACACAAACCGCTGGTATGGTCTTTTCAGCCTAAAGGCGCCATAAGTAACATTTATAATTCCCCAAAGACTATAAAGATTTGTAATACTGTAATGTTTGGGAGGTGATATTGTTTGAAAAGATAATGCTCTAAAGATATATCTTTAACTTAAGCCCAATAAATCCCAATAACATAATTTATTTTTTATGAAAGTTCACTTCAACAAAAACTCAACATAATCTCAAAAACCCCACAGAACATCTTGTAACACATCCCAGTTAAAACCAGAGGATTACTACTTCTAACAAGCTGTCACCTTAATGTCCGGAGTATAAATCGCACTAACATCAGCTAACCTGAATTATTTTTTAACCCAGAAGTAACCCAAATTCCTTTGTTAGTGCATATCATAAAATATAATAAAAATATCTGGTCCGACGCTAATATCTGATATAGTTTATGAGGGTTGAGCTCAGAAACACCTCAGCTAAGCTCTAAAAACCTCAGCACATCCTACGACACATCCAAGCTGAAAACCGGAGGATTACTGCACATAACAGGCCGTCACCCTCCGGCCGGTGGTGAAAAATCACAGCTCTCTGTTTCCACTCAGGGACAGCTGGAGAGGAGGCTCACAATGCCGATCACACTGTATTGTACACACTACACTGCATCACATCACAACATCTTAACTCATAGTTTGATGTAGAATTTGTATGGGAGAGCATTTTGATAAATCTCACATCACTGGAAATCTGCTTCAATCATGTAAATTATTAATAGACATTTTATTCATGATTGTTTAATTGTATGTATGTTTAATTCTGATTTGTGGCATATTTTGTGTTATATGTTGTTCATCTAGTAACTTCTGCCTATTTTGTCCAGAACACTCTTGGAAATGAGAATTTTAATCTCAGTGAGGCTAGGGATAAAATAAAGGTAGAAAAGTGGCAATTATATATTTTTTAATTCTCTATAATTATTTGATTTGAATAAGTAAATAAAAATGATTTGTTTTTTGAATCATTATTTTTAATATTTTTTGTTCCTCCTTTAATATATTTTTGTCATATCTTTGTGATGGACCTTTTGTGAGATTACTGAAAACAGTGTTGGATTTCACAACTCTAAAGACTGATTGTGTTGATTGATGGATGATATTTGTAGTATAAGGAGCTGTGGGGATTCCAGTATTATCCAACTGTATGATGAACAGTCTGCGGCCACAGAGTGTGTGTGTTCTGGCCTGTTGATGGAGAGCTGAGCCAAATATTTATGAGAGAATTTGTTCCATTATCAGAGACTGTTGGGTGAGTTTCAGATCTGTTGGGTTGAAAAGGGGGCAGGCAGCGGGGTCTGGCCCCTTCCGAACATGTGGTTCTCACACCTCGGTGGCAAAAGTTCATGTATGAGAGTTAACAACTCAAGAGGTGTCTCACCTCACTGCTCCTATTTCTCCTCCCTCCATCTCTCCATCACACAACTCTGCAAATTAAACACATTCCTCTTTGCCTCTTCACTGCTTTCTGATTCAATTTGAACCGCCACTCTCTCCTCCACCCCTGCTACCCCATTAATATTCCACCCCCCCTATTCCTCACCCCATTTAGATGCACACACGAGCAAATGAGCAAATGGCCCCTAAACTTAAAAGAGCAGCTCAGGAGCATCAATCCGAGCATCAGCCCCAAATCCCTCAAACTAACATGTGAGTCAGGAGGCCAAACAGCTCAGCAACTGGATCTGTGTTTGCTTTTCCTCCAGGGATGTCCCCTTCTTCCCCTCCTCTTTTATTACATTAGAGGGTGGCCAGCTCATCCGCTTGGGAGCCCTCTGCTGTTTTGATGTGTGTCCCTTCATCCTGTTTATCTGTCTGCTTGTCTGGATGACCAACCGAGAGCCTAAACCCTAATTGACTTGGCTGGAATTTGAGGGCCGGAGTTCCACAAGCAGCAGGTAGTAATTACTTCACAGCAAGTTAATACCAACAGCATGCTGGGACGGGTGTGGGGAGGTAGGATGAGGGCGTATGGTGGGACACGGGGGGGAGGTGGCGTGGAAAGAGGGTGTATAGTGTTACTAGCTTTCTTTCATCTGCCTAAATAGAGATATCGGAGCAACTCTGCGGGCTCCTCGTCTCAGTGACTCCTCTGGCAGTTTTCTGAGGGGAGGTTAGCGGGAGTTTGAATCCTGGCCGGAGTGCAGTGTGTCCTCTCTGACCTTTTGCCATTCACTCACCCCTTCTAACAGTCACCAGCCCCTCCTCTCTTTTTGGCAGAAGCCCCATGGCCTTTTATCCTTTTGGCTGTGAGGCTTCTGTCATCCTGTTTTCTATTGCAAACAAATGAATGAGGCTCTTTAGTTAATGTGTTCCAGACCAGTGACATTATACTCTGTGTTACTGGGCAGTTTGAGGTGGGAAATAAAAAACGTGGATAAGGGACACATGGGGTCAGCAGAAATACAAAGGTAATCGCTTTGACCCTTAATTATTGCTTCCTTTGCAAAACATGACTGGACCCTTCGAGCTCCAGCCGTCACCGCTTTCCTTTTTCTGAGAGGATCGTGTTGTTTTAAACTCAGGCTTCTCATTAAGGAAAGAATAGAAGGATATTAACACTATACTTCACACATTCACTCCCAATATATCTACACTGTACATTTTTATTTTATAAACCATTTTATTATGTATAAAAAGTAAACATTTAAACAGTTAGGATAATGAAGCACCTATAACAAATAATATTGGATTGGATGTCTTGTGACACAATGCACATATGTTTTTATTTTGAAGCAAGATTGCACACATTTTAAAGTGAAGCTACTGATTATTTGTACTTGCTGTTTAAAATCTTGTGAGTATATAGTTTTTTAAAATGTTTTCTAAATAAAAATTCAGATTCTTGTTGGATGCTATTTTCATCATCATAATTTGTATAGGCCCAAGACTATAACGGCATTATTTCATATATGTAGAACTAAATTACTTGCAATTGAATTTTTTTTTCTTTACTTCAGACATACAACCTCCGCTCCACCATGGAGACTAGATACCTCTTTAGTATTTTCCTTTAAGCACATTTTTTATTGTATGGTACATCCCCACAAATTGCATTGCTAAAGATTATCTGCATCAAAAAGTGCACTGTTGACTATAAAAATATTTCGTACCATGAGGTGGAATAATTGTAAAAATGTCACATTACAGCTTTCACATTATTTTTCCTGGTGAATAAAACAACTGATTTCCACACATGATGCTTATGCCGAGTTTACGCAATATATAATTTCATCAGGCTAATTATCCGCTCATTGACCTTTTGTGTGTGTGTGTGTGTGTGTGTGTTTTAAACTATCTTCCTAATTAAACTTGCTATTATTGGTGTTATTAATGATGCCTGATAAAATGTAGTTTGGAGACCATACTCAGTGATTATTCCTTGTAAAAGATCTTGTCATGTGTGACACCTTGTTGCTCATAAGTCATGTAGTTTGCAAACCACTATGACTCCAAAGCTCCAAAGTTATGTAGTGTGACCACAGTAGAGAAGGGTTTTGAGGTACTGCTGAGAGCACTGAGCATGGACCCAAAAATCTGCCACAAATCAGGCTGCCTTCAGTTACAAAAACACTGACCATCACAGTCATTAAAATAAATAACATAATTTCCATAATACACATGACAAAATCCTTTAAACAATGCACATCAGGAAATACATTTCAAGTTAGTCACCACAGTAATTTCGCGCTCATTTACTTACATGACTTGGAAGGGGCAGTTGGGTGTGTGGAGGAATTTGAGCTCTTTGATGGACCGCTGAGGAACCGTGCTGAGAGTGGAACGACACCAGCACCGCTCTACCAGACTGATGGGCTTGGCTGCAAACACACAAGATGGAAAATTACAAATTAAGTTCACTGTCAGTGAAAGAAAAATTGACTACAATTATAGGACACTCATGGTGATTTCAGCTGTTCAGCATACTTACAAATACACTGGACAGTTTTATTAAGTTATGTTCAGTCATTTTTTATAAAGTTTTTTGCTCTCTGTAATTTGCACATAATGAACTCAATTATTTTAATAATTATACTGTTCAAAGGCAGATAAAGTGACTGATATGGTTAACTGCCAAAAATGTTCTTTGAAACAATTTCAACATTTCATTGTTCATTAAACAGAGCACGGGTCATTCTAGTTCATATGAGGATTTAAAAATGTACATCAACTTAAATTAAAATCCAAATTCAAACACAGTAGCTTCAACTTAATTTCAGTTGTGATTAAATGCATCACTTCCCTCAGTGGACAAATTAAAAGCATGTTTAATCTACTGTAACAAGTCCTTACAAAGCATGGCAATGTATGAGTTTACCTGCGATTGCTCTGAACAACATGTTCATTAAAAAGAGATTAGCCCTTTTATGACCACTGTCACACACACACACACACACACACACACACATGCAGAATTTGAGCTTTTCACTCCCAGGCCATTCATCCCAGCCACTCTAATGCAGGAGGGCCCTCAACATTCAATTTCCAATATTTGCCTCTTTTATGAAGGAGCACTCAGCGGCTCAGACGTCCTCTGTGGAAATCACCTCGAGTACATTCTTAAAATGATTACAAATCACCCCTGTGCCTCCATGGAGGCTTGTGGGGGCCCAGAGGACCACAGATGCACAATAATAACTTCAACTACATGCAATTACAAACTGATTGTAGTTTTGAAAATTTGCAGTTTGCAGATTTTCCAAAGAAATGATGATGGTTATAAAAATGTCAGAGAAAGGATGAAGAGAAACACTCTAATAGCCTTGATGCTGTGGAGTGCTTTACTCAATATATTACATGCACATGGTTTCAAAGAAAAAATGCTTCATTGAGGCTGCAGAGTGCGTCAAAAAATCATAAAAGGTCACAGAGCAGATGCTGACTTTGCAGAAACTTTGCAAATTACCACTTCCTGCTCTGATAAACACAGAAATTACTAAATCAAGTGCATCTCGTGTAGCTTACAGACCTTTGTTTTGGGTTCAACATATCCCTATTGATATGCATGTTTATAGTGCAACACCAAATGTCCTGCCACAAATGGCTAAATCCTCAGTAATATCAGCCTAATGATTCACACCCATTCAGGGTCTTTTCTCATGCAAACTAAAGGATCATTATGCAGCACGCAGCACCGGGGCCATGAGTGAGCTTCAACTGCTATCACCACCGCATTGTTTATCCCTAATTAGAAACTAATTAAAAGAAAGCAAAGGGAAAAAACAAATACACACATTTAGACCAGACTCTTTAATATGCAATCAGGGGTCTTACTGGGGCCGAAACAACAAGCTTAGCATAACGCAGGCCAGGCGACTCAACGCCCCGGCTTGTCTCCTACCAAGGCTAACATGTGGGAGATTAATGTGGGGTCACTGTGGGAACTGCACCACTCCTGTGGTACCCCGAATGATTTGAATTCAAAATAGTGAATATAATAATTACTGAAACATTTTGCAACCTGGTTCATTGATCATTAAAGAAGTTAACAAAATGTGAGAGTTTACTATTAATATGTTGTAATTTAACTTCTATACCAGTAATCTAGGGCTAATATAATACTTTTTATTAATGATTAATCTACTGATTATTTTCTCAATTAATTGTTTTGGCCTATGCAATCACACACATTTTCCCCCAGAACCCAAGCTGAATCTGAATCTTCAAGTTGCTGTGATGAACAGTCCAAACTCCAAAAATATTCAGTTTGCTGTCACAGAGAAGTAACAAAATCAGCACAAATTCATCTTTGAAAAGACAAAAAGTGTTACATTTTGGCACTTTTCCTTAAAGAAAAGCTTAAACAATCAATCGATTCTGAACTGGTGGTGGTCAACTAATCAAGTAATCGACTAATAGTTAAACTTTCTTTGGTTATCATTTAGTCAACATGGATAAATGGTGGATCATTTTGTATTAAAAGTATGTTCCCTGGTACCTATTTTTCCATGTCTGAAAAACACGAGATGTAACAAAACAAACAAGTGCAACAAGGGATTTGTCAAAAAGAGATCTTTCTTTGTTCTTCAACTAATGAAACTCATCAAGTATAAACATTCAGGCAAATTAAACCTGACAAAGAACTATCAACAATATCCCATGTTTTGGTCATGAAAAAGTTATAACAAAAAGTCAAAATAAATCTTCATTTAGATTCAAGACATTCACTTGATCTTCTAATACAGACTGAATCCAGAAATGTGTCATAACACTATTCTTACACAGCCAATATTACAAATAATCCAAATGATAGAAGCCTTAACATCCAGACTACATGCAACAAAATCCCTAATCTCATGCAGCTACATTTAAGACAAAAATGAATCAATACCCTCAAAAACAGTCTCTCTGAATCATTCTCTGAACTATTCCCCCCCAACCCTCTCTTGGACTCACCGTTGGAGGTTGGTACATGTGTGGCCACGGCCAGGAGAGCCGTCAGAGTCAGCAGTTTGACATCCATGGTGGTGGTGGTGGGCTAACAGGCTGCAGGAGGGCTGCTCTCTCTCTCTATATAACTCTCTCTGCTACAATCCAGGACACAACTGTGACCGCCAGCTCTGCTCTGCGCTGTGTTAAATCTTCAGATGGAAGAGAGAGAGAGACACACAGGGAGAGTGAGGAGGGAGGAAGGGAGGGAGGGAGGGAGAGGGTCCCACTTTCTCAGGAAGGAGGGAGGAGGGGGGGGTCCCAGCATGAGAGGAGAGGAGGTGAGAGGAGGGGAGGGGTGGAGAAAGAGGGAGAAGCAACCAGTCAGTAGAGACTTCCTCGATTGTAAATGTGCTGGCTGGGAATCAAGGAGAAAGTCTGGAGGGAATTCTCTCTTTTTCTCTCTTTTCACTGGTTTCTATCCATTTTCCACTTGTTCCATTTTTCTCCCTTTCTCTGTTAGTATTGTTCTTTGGTTTATTCCATCTTTATTTCCTTGTCTTTATCATCTATTTCCATTTTTCAGTTTATTCTCTTTGCCTCTTCTTGCCACCTGCCACACACACACACACACACACACACACACACACACACACACACACACACACACACACTCTGTGCCAGAGTTCCCTGCTGTTAGACTAATATTGTTGTTATTGTTTACAAGGACACAGACTGTTTCTCTCTCTCTCCCTCTACCTCTTTCTTTCTCTCTCTCTGTCTCTCTCTACCTCTCTGACTGTGTCTCTTTCCCTCTTTCCCTCTCTTGATGACTCCTTGTCATCTGGCTCTGCTCCCATCCATGACTCCTGGTTCATGGCTCAAATGGGGTCCTGTGGGTTCCCCGTCAGTTTCTCTGTGTTCTCTCTGATGAAACCATTAAAGGACTGTTTAGACTTCACAATTGTACCATCAAAATGAGAAAGGGAAAATCTGTGTAGAATAAAAATGTGAATATTTGTGGATTCAAACTAATTGTGAATTCCTTTTCTGTTGGTCAAAAATTAAGAAGGAGCTGTTATTTGGAGGAAGCTTCTGTGACGAGCTGCTGTTGTTTGCCAAATAATGAATGAAAATGAGGAATGCAATTTGATTTCTCCATTGCTTGAAATAACAAATCAATTAAATCCAAAAGGATACTTTAATGAGAGAATAAATTGATTTTTATGTTTATTTTTAACCTGCTGCAGTTCCTTTTTGGAAACCTGTATGTCCACCACCATCACAATGCTGCAGCACATTAAGATTCCTGCACCATCAGACGAGGTTGGGACGGATTCTATGAAAGAACTGAAAATAAAACCCTCACATTTTCTATCAAATTAACATTTAGCTTTCACCAAAAAATACAGCCTGTGTTTCCTGCCCCCCTCATACAATGAATCTTGGACAGACATAAGGAATTATATCTCTATGTACAATATATTGTGGATGCATTTATCTTTTTAGGTAACTCATTTGTAGTTCTTTTTTTCGGTTCAGTTCACATTGTTACATAAACTAGCAAAGAATAAGTATGCAATAGAAAATACTGAAGACTAAATTTAAAATTAAAAACACTAAAAGTGTTTATATCTCTCTATGTTACATAAGTTGAGGATTTTCTGTGCATAAATATCTGATTTTATCTAATATCTGTTGGAGATGTGACAAACATACAGCAAAAATAGAGAGGGTGTTCCAACAGGTGGGGAGTAAATAAAAGCCTTCAGGGACAGATGTAAGTTCTCATTCACTGATCCTAACTGATGATCTGATAGAGAACCTCCTACCTCATCTGGAAAAAAAAGACTTAAACAGTGAGCAACAATGTAACAGGACACAGATGTGTAGATGTTGCTGTGTGGTTAGTTTATTATATGCATGTGTGTACATGTCTGTGTGTGTGTTTGCAAACATGCATGCAATTATGTATGTTTATGTCTCCTTTCCCTCCGTTCTGCTGCATTGATTCCAGCAGCTGCGAAACTGAAACTGCTCTTCATGCCAGGACTTGACGCCTTCTCTGTCAGAGCAGTTGGAGGTGATTCAACCCCCCCACCTTCATCTGCAGCCCCCTACCACCACCACCAGTAATAAAACCATGCACTGCTAAAGACCGCCTGTCAATTCATACAGTGAAACTCTTCCCCTGCAGTTTACAAGTCCATACCATGGCAGCGTGCTGAGAGAGTACTCGCAGGTCTGAGCCCTGCTGTAAGCTATAAACCTGAGAGGGTGTTTACTGTTAGCCAGAGAGTCATCCAATATAACCGTTATTAACAGTGGGGAGATGAAACTGAGCTGTGAGGAGAGAAGCATCAGATTACCTTTGAGGAATTTACTTAGTTCAAACAATGTGCCTTTATTGTTTTATGGCCCAAGTAACAGCAGAGAAATCAGTTAACAGTCATGAAGACAGACAGCAGTTTTGTTATTTTTTGTATGGTTGTGCCGCTTTAATCATGCAAATTATAGATTGTATCTAACCAAACAGTAGTTTTTATTTTATTTGCCCAGATTTGAGATACTTGCTTCAGAGTTTTATGAAGCCTTCCTGAAATAATGGAAGTGATTTTTTGTTTTTGTCACCAGTAACATTGGTTTTCATAAGCAGTGTCCTGGTTATTCTGGTCCAGAATAAATAAAATAATTGTGAAAGAGTGACACATGTAATTTTTCACTGCTCACACCACAAACCAAATCCCATTCACCTTTTGTTTTGTAGTGGAAACAGAAATCCCAACAGCTGGACAAAAAAACCCAGACTTTATCAATATCTGTAAATCTAGCTCTAACTAGAGGTAAATAACAAAAGTTAGGGTTTTTTTGCATTTTTGTTTGAAATGACCCTTTAATAAATTCATTTGCGTATTAGATTGTGGACTTTAGGACGGACCACAGTACCAGTATTTTAAGCAGCGCTGGGAAAGAGATGTGAGTTATAAGGTTTGATTTGATTAGACACCGTGCCTCACAGTGAAGCTGTGCTCCACACCTACAACATACAACAATGTTTGGATTTCCTCCACAGATGTAAGGTTTCTATGATGGGATGTTTGGCAGTGTAAAATAAGTCTGTATTATGTTTCATGCAGTTAGTTAAACCCCAAACTCCCAAATTACCTAAAACCATGTCAATCTTATCATCACAGCCCTGAGAGTTGTATTTACTGAGACACAAAAACAAATGTCAGAAGTGTTTTACCCGCTTCAGTGCTAACACGCCACAGGAGCGCAGCTGCAATGGAGGCCGGGAATGTGTTTGGCACGTTTTACCGCTGACCTGTGGGACAACACTGCCACTTGTATCACACGTGGGGTTAAAGGTCAGTGTTTCAAGTCCCTGTATAGGGTTACAGGCAATTGGGCTGCCAGGTCTATGTGCTGGACCATTCATGATAGACGAGCCTGCACAAATGGCTGCCATGATGAGGGATATGATGGAGAGCAGACGAGTATTTCTGCGTCTGGGTGGATGGTCTGCATCAGGTCCACACATGCTGCACCTTCCTTTTTGAATTAAGTAATTGCCCAAATAAAGATTATTAGAGGCAATAAACTGGATTTTCACTGTAAATGTGATCGTCTCTTATAAAACAGAACCTTGATCACAACAGGATGTATAAGGATGTGGTTAAATAGGAACTAATGGGGTTTTTAATGAGAGCAGAAAAACATCCAAATGTTTTTTTCCCTCTGACAAAACCTGCTGTTTTCCTGCTGTGATTCTGCTCATGGTTTTTAGCAGATTTGCACAAGAAAATAGTCTTAGAAGTAACACAAGTGAAAATCTTATCTAACCTGATAGAATATGTAGATTATAAAGCACACGCTCTCCGTGCACCTCAATAATCATCTTTCGTCAGCAGCTGTGTCACAGCACTTAAACCAAACCCACACAAACACATTATTACCGTCTTTCGTGCCATTCCATGTAAAAATGAACCCAAATAAACACGGACTAATCTTTTCGGTAATCTCCCATGCAACGGTGATCCCGACTTTCCTGTTGGGATCTCTGCGTGGAGATTGGTCTGATTGTGATCCAGAGTTTATTGTGTTTGTCCAGCAGTTTGAGTCTGGTGCTGAGTTTTATTTTATGGTGGCAGGGCAGATGAAAGGTTTCCCTCCACTGGGCTTAGATAAACAGTAGTTCACAATCACAGCCGGGGCTGTATGAGAGGCTCAAAATGTGCCATGTAAACACACATTAATCAACATGTGGAAAGATTCTCAAGAGCACCAAACGTATCAGCCACTAGATCATAAAAAGGGAAAGTGTTGAGTTAAAATTATGCCTACTGTGTTAGTGTTGTGAAGTGGCTGAGCAAGTTTACAGTATATAAAAGAGCTGCGGTGTAATGAGTACGATGGATTTGGATTTTACAGTGAGTGAAAAAAATTCTAATATATACTGGAGGTGTGTGTGTGTGTGTGTTTGTGTGGGTTTATGGTGGTCATCTAATGCAGGGTTCTGTAAACAGGATAAACAGGAGGTTTGGGGGTTTTAAGGTGTGTGTGTTTGTTGGGGTTAGAGAGGGGGATGGGCGTGTGGTGTGTGTGCGTGTGTGATGTGTGTGATGTGTCTTTTGGGGGGTCCCTGTTATCAGTTAGCACGTTTTTTCCCTGAGCCTCGGCAGCTGCCCCCCCCAACACACACACACACACACACACACTATCAGTGGCCGTGAAATGTGCGGAAAACGGGAAACCCCTATATCTAGAACCATTGTTTGGTTGTCCCTGCTGGGCTACTGTAGAAACATGGGGGTCAGCATGGTGGTAACAGGTAACATAATGACATAATGACTCTTAAATTCTGGGGATTATAAACTAATGAAAACATAACTAAATGTTACACACTGGACATTTAAATACAAGATTATAAAACAAAAGAACACACTATTTATAGCATTGAAACAAGTACAAATTTGCACCACTGAAAGTAACAAACACTCGTCTTGCCGTATAAATGAATAAAATACAAATACTAGCACAACATTATATGAGCACGCGGAGGGCAGCAGTCTAGTAGCAGCCTAAAAGAAACAATAGTTTAAGAAAGAAAGAGGTCTTGGCTGAACAAAACCTGGAGAGAACTCCTCATTGAGTCTGCCTCTTGACCATTTTAATCCTGTACTCCCCATTCACATGTACAGCACATACAG